TACTCCAGGTGGAGGTGTCTCGTCCTCGGTCACATCCAGACCTTGAAAATAAGGCTGCAACCGGTCCCATTCCTTGCAACAGAGGCATTCCTCTTCTGTGGGCACTGGGGCACAGCATTCACAGGTACACCACCAATCTCCAGAGCTACGCAGCCTTGCAGCAGCCATTCCTCCTCTCTCGTCCTCTACCTGTTGCGCCTCTCTCTCTCTCCTCCTCCGTTCTTCAATTTCAGGAAGCTCTTCGTCAGTGTATTCTGGCTCAAATAAATAAGGGCGGCCATCAAACTCTGCAAAATCAAATTCCTCCTCCACAAAGTCAAAGTCTGGCAAAAAGTCAGCCATTATTCTATAAATCTTTCATAAAATAAATGAATGAACTTTTCAGGCTACTGTCCGGTTCTCCCTTCCAGCTGTTGCTGCTTGTTCTCGCGATATTTCGGTAGCGCTTTGGAAAGCAGAGCTAAATGGTAAACAAACATGGCACCACACCGGTAAGGTAAGACAACACGTTTACGTGTCATTTTCTATATGTTCACTGACATTTATCCTAATGATATGAGGCGGTCTTTGTGGAAAAAAAGCTTGTTTAGTGGACTAACTTTGCACTTGAAGGTTGCCCGTTCACTTACGTTTTAACAGGTCTGATGCTACTATGCGCCCCGGCTGTATCTAGGCTAACAGAAAACATGCTAACTATTATTTTTATGTCACTAGTCACTTGAAACAAATTTAGGACGATAGGAGACAGGTTGAAATAAACCGAAATTTCCCTTTAACACCAGGTGAGTCATTAAACAGGTGAGTTATATATAAACTCAGCCCCATACAGTCATCATGAATGTTGAAATTAGCTACAGAGACCAAACTGTTTTTGTACCAGGCGGTAAAGATGTTTATTTATGCTGTGAAGTTCAGGAGGCTGGGAGTCAGCCTCTAGTGGACATTAGAGGAACTGCAGCTTTTGGCACTTTGACAATGGATTTAATTTATCAGCCATGAACGCTGCTGCTTCGTAGAAAGTGAGGACATTTTTAAAAGTGTGTGCACTTTTGAAAATGAGACACTTTGTTTTGAATGAGGACACCCTTGGAAAGGTGAGGACAGGTTTGCAGAGTGGACGTGAGGACACTGTCTCGTCCTCTCCTGATGGACAGTCAGATGGTAGAACGTGTCGTGGTTAGATCCCTCCTGTCCATGTGGAAGTGTCCTTCAGCAACACACACTAAAGTCCAAATTCTTTCCTCTGTGTGTGTGTGTGTGTGTGTGTGTGTGTGTGTGTGTGTGTGTTGTATCCACAGTGAGGATGTGAGAACAGCCAATGTCATCGCTGCTGAGGCCGTCACCTGCCTAGTCATCGACCGAGAGTAAGACACACACACACACCAAATGTAACAAAGTAAAAGCGCTCATTATGCAGACCGGCTCAGTTCAGAGTTTTATATCAGTTTCTGTACTAAATAATTATTATTATTGGAGCGTCAAAGTGTAAACAGTATTTTAAATGAAGTGGAGTCTGAAGAACAATATTTCCAGCAGTTGTGAAACAGATTCTGCACAATGAGTACTTTTACTTTTGGTACTTAAAGTATATTTTGATTACATGCTTGTACCTAACAACAGTACGTGATTAAATGTACTTTGCTATTTTACAGAGGTGGTCTAAACTGCTCAGTTCAGTCATGTTTCAGCACCACAAACTAAGCTCCGCCCACCTCCATCATGTTTGAATGCACCAGATGAAAACTGTCTGCTGAGTGTGGTGATGTTTGATTTGAGTGAACTGAACCTTTAAGACTGAATGCGTTTACAGTGTGAAGCTGTTGGTTTCTTAAAAGCTGCTGCTGGCCTCTGCTGGTTAACTTGAACAACTACATTATTTATCTACAGTGGCAGAGAAAGATTGGGCACCTCTGGTCATAATTTAATGTTTTGTGAGAGAGTGGTGGTGCACTGTTCTACTGTGCAGACACACCTGGACAGATGTGACCTTCATGAAGAGTCATCACAAGAAAACCTTCTCACAAGTTTGTGAAGGAACATCGAGACAAGCCTGATGCTTTTTGGAAACAAGTCCTGAGGAGACTTTCTGGACACAGTGAGACAAAGGTACACCTGTCCAGCTGTTACAGACGGGGGTGGATGGATGAGACAAAGGGACACCTGTCCACCTGTTACGGACGGAGGTGGATGGATGATATTCCAGTGACCATCACCATTTAATTATTTTTAAATTCCAGATCAGGAACGTTACACACATTTATTGAACAGTCAGTATGAGTGCGTCCTGCTTTATACTGACTACAGAGCTGGACACACTGTCAGTGGTAAACAGTCTGCAGATGATGGTTATGTAAGTTGTTTCAGCCCGTTCTCATACCCAGGGCGACAAATACCAACACTTCATCAGACCCCTCGCTGAGGTTGTGGGTCTCATTTCAACATTGGTGGGGCCACATATCGAGCGGGGGGTCTCAGGGTCTTCCAGGAAATTTCAAGCGTCATTTCCTGCTGAAGTTTCATGCACCAGTCTGTGGTGGAAATGTTTTTATTTATGTAAAGAGGAACATAAAATTCAGGTGGCATGGTGACAATTTAAAATACAATAGAATATAATACTCATCAAATATTTATTCTCCTGTACGCTGTAAATCCCCGAACCATCCATGACACATAATGTTAAGATAAAGTTTACACAAATGTCCCTGATTGTCAAAATAACACAAAAACTCATGTGAGCCTGACATATTTTTTATGTTAAGTCAACAATTTTTAAGTTTAGAGTTAATTTGATGAAACTTTGTAAAGCTGATTGAGCCTGATTATTTTAAGGCCAAATAATAACACCATCAATGCTCTTAACATATTTTAATAGTTCAGATCAGTGAAATTAAAAAACGGTTGTTAAAATGTTGACTTATGTTTTTATGTTTATGTGACAAAGAATTAAGTCCAGTGATAATGTTCTTTAAGGGTTTTTTTCTGTTGTTGTTATTTCACAGGCTGTATTGATACATTTGAAATTAGATTTAAATTCAATCTCTCAGTCCTGATTGGCTGTTTCTTCCTCTTCAGCTCATTCAAGCATCTGATTGGTGGACTGGACGACGTTTCAAATAAAGGATACGAGGACGCTGAAGCCAAAGCAAAGTAAGTGTGATGTTCATGTTATTGATATTTATTAAAAGAACACATTATGTTAAATATTTGAACATATAGAGCTTTCACTTAATTTGAATTTTCAGTTTTTTTGTTTCCATTTAGTTTTTATAGAAGAAAAAGTTCATGTTTCATTTCTGTGCTGTTGAATGTTAATGCCGCTGATTTTAATTGTGATGGAGACAAACAGAAAGTGGAGCAGCAATTAAAGTTAATCTGCAAATATTTTGATTATCTGGTTCTTAAAGTCATTTCATCCAGCACCTAACGGTGTCTAAACAGTGACTGTGCCTGATGATCTCTCTGCTGCAGCTTTTAAAGTATCTTCAGTTTAATATTTGAACTGAATTGAAACCTGTTTGTAAAATCGACCTAAAAGCTGGTGTAATGCTCCTTTAAGCCGCGGCCGTGGCAGCTGTGTGTCCCCTCAGTGTTTCCCTCCATCATGTCAGCAGCAGGTTTGTGTGTGTGAATGTTGTCGGCAGTAACTGGATCCTCTGTGTGTCGCTTATGTAAGAACAGCTAATAATACCTGCTGCAGTCTCAACCAGGTCACTGTGAAGGACGCTCGCTTGGTACTGAAGGTCCAAATCAATGGCAGCGACCTGACAGGGGTTTTCTTTTATATTCTAGCGTTCAAACTCATGCAAGTAACCCGATGCATGAATACATATAGTGTTTGGTGTGAACACGACATTACACGTTCACACAGATGAACAGGAAATAGAGTTTTGATAAATCTTCACCTTATGTTGTATAAAAAATAAAAAGTTAATGATCTATAATGAATAAATAAAACAATTAGTGAGAGGGCATTACATGTAAAGTCAATGTAAAGACGTGATGAGATGCAAAGTTCTGTGACCTCAAACTATTTGCGTGTGGACGAGCGGCCCAAAGGTGGAGGGAAGTATTTGTTACTTGTTAATGGAAGAATATCTGTACATTTATGTGGGAAATCCAGCTCAGACCAAAGGTTCATGACGAGATGAAACTGTTTAAGAACATTGCAGAGAAAAGTGTCAGTGGTGTGAACTGGCCAGTCGGCTGGTTTTAAAGCACGTCACCTGTTTCAACAGCCAATCAGCTTGTAGTTAAGTCTGCTGGTGAAGTCAAAATGGCCGCAGACGGCGTGTTGGCTTGTTGCAGCAGGTGCTTCGTCCCCGCTGAGCCCTCTGGTTCCATCCTCACAGTGTGCCAGTGTCAGACAATGGGTCGCTGCTGCTGCTAGCTGTGTGTGCCCCGCCCACACACACATTCTCATTGACTGATGAATTGGCGCTGCTTATTGATATTATTGTGGCGTATTGATTATGAATACAGTCCATCTGATGCTGGTTTTGTTTCATCACTGTAGCCAGTATCTCACTATCACTATCCTTATTCAGATTTTAAGAAGCTACAAATTATATTCAGCCACAAAATAAGTCTGAAAAGCTGCAAATCAGAACGGAAGTACAGAGAGTTGTTGACTAGAGATGATACGCCGTCTCATGGTGGTCACTTCCTGTGAACCAGCAGCTTTTTACAGCTTTGTAGAACGGTACTTTGCATGTAGTCGCCTGTTTCAACTCATCTCATTGCAAATCTTTTGTCTGAACTGGGCTCCATCATGTGAACACGTCATGTTAGCAACATTAGAACCAGCACTAATTCGGTTACACCGGTCATTGCACAAATTGTTGCCTCATTTGTGCCTCACAAAGGAGAAAACAGTGCACACTCTGACATCACAAACCAAAAACTATTTTTCCTGTCTACACGTCAACACTGAAAACAGAGTGTCTGAAAATTTTCACCCTCAACAGAGTTTTTCAAAAGGGTTTTTTTTTTGGGACCTAAAATGCAGTTTGCATGTGGATGACTCCTGGTATGTCTAGGCCTCTAAACTAAAAGTCATGGTTGCTGACTTAATAAAACCATGTATCTCCAAACTATGTATTTTTATGATCCAGAATTTTTCAGACAAACTGAACGAGTCATCTTTTGTTTATGATTTCAAAAAATATGAGATATGTGGTTTCCACAGGGCAGCGATACATGGTGCACTATACAAGACACACACACACACACACACACACAGTGTAAGATTAGATGTTGTGGTCTGTATCAGATGACTGTTGGTCGTGTGACAGAGTGAATCTGAACACTGTCAGTCACCTCATGGTATAGATTCAATACTGCACACACACACACACACACACACACACACACACATACACCAGGTGTCCTGCTGTCATTTAAGAAGGTTGTTATGGTTAACAGTAAACAGTAAAGTAAACAGTGAGGTGTATAAAACAGGAGACTGTGTTTGTCCTTCATTTTGTTTCTGAGCTGAGTTTTATTTTAAATTTAATTCTTCAGCTTTTGGTCATAAAAACAAACAGTAGTTTTTATTATAAGATATATACATGAATAAATACATATGCCATAATCCCAAGTCAGAACAAACTTTCAAAATCAAACCAGTGTCTGAGACACAGCCATCATCTTGTCAAACTACATTTAATGTTACTGAAGATTTGAAGCAAACTGTAAAACAAGATCACTGACTTTGTTCAAATTCTGTGTTCTTAAATTAATAATATTTTATTTTACTGATTTGTCGTCGTCTAAAATATTATTGTCGCAAGAATACCCTGAAATATCGTGATTATTTTGGGGCCATATCACCCAGCACTACTCTGCACCAGCGACAGACATGGCCGGAGGTTTTCTGTTTTCGGGTTTCCGTCCATCCGTCCCATTCTCGTGAGCACGACATCTCAAGAACACATGGGGGGAACTTCAGGTTTGGCGCAAACATTCACCTTGAGTCAGAGATGAACTGATTTGAATTTGGAGATCAAAGGTCAAGGTCACTGTGACCTTGTTTGTTGCATTCTCATGAACGCAATATCTCAAGAACATGTTGAGGGAATTTCTTCACATTTGGCGCAAACATCTACTCGGACTCAAGAATGAACTGATTAGAAATTGGTGGTCAGAGGTCAAAGGTCACTGTGACCTCACAAAACATGTTTTAGGCCATAACTCAGGAATTCAAACACTAATTCTGACCAAAGAAACAAATGGTCAAAGGATAAAATGACGAAGTTGTAAGAGCCTTTCCAAGCATGGAAGGAAACCGTCAGACAAACTTTACTGGTTTGCAGAGTCACGCATATGCAAGGCGATATTCATATGTATATATATATGTATAGTGACTTTTGGTAAAAGTGTGATTTTTCATGTGATCTAAACATTTTTAAAGTTATGCTGTTAGATTCGTGCCCAGTCTGTCTGTACCAGATTTTAAGACTTTAGATCAATCAAATCAATTATTGTGGTATTTTCATAGTCTTTCAATATCCTTCCTCAAAATTAAGCTTTTGTTTTACTAGTTTCAGAATTTTTGAAAACACTGTATCTTTTCAGTTATTTAAGTTTAACACAAAGGTCATCTTTATTCACGGTGATATTTTACATTTTAAAACAATATTTTACTCATTAAAATCTGAAGAATAATAATCAAGTTAGCATCACATCACTAATAATTCCCATTATTAATGTGTGGATACTTTCTGTTAAACAGTTTTATGTTGTTAATCTGTTGCTGAAGCTTCTCACGCTGAACTCTGGTTTGGCTCAAGGACACTTCAGCAGGATGAAGGTCGGGGGCATTTGAACCCTGCAGTGAGCTCCAACAGTTAATCTCTGTCTGACTGTGATAAACTATAATTAGAGTGTTTATGTGTTGCTTCGTCCGGACTGACCGACCAGCGGCTACTGTTTCTGCAGAAATCTGATTCCACTGAGTCAACTTCCAGGAAAGAGACACACACTCATCTGTTGGTGTGTTGTCATTGTCATTGATATTGGAGGTAGTTTTCACCAGAAAAAAACTTTACAGCTGTGTTTGTCTGAAACCCACATTAGCCTTCATCCTCATCTCCACGAAATATGTTTAAAAAAAGAGAGAAACTAACATAATGAAATATAATGTTATATGCCAAACCTAAAACAGGAAATTTTAATTAGCTTACAATTTTTTTCTTTTCAAACACGAGCCTCATAGTCATTTCTGAAACACATACAGTACAGGCCAAAAGTTTGGACACACCTTCTCATTCAATGCGTTTTCTTTATTTTCATGACTATATACATTGTAGATTCTCACTGAAGGCATCAAAACTATGAATGAACACATGTGAAGTTATGTACTTAACAAAAAAAGGTGAAATAACTGAAAACATATTTTATATTCTAGTTTCTTCAAAATAGCCACCCTTTGCTCTGATTACTGCTTTGCACACTCTTGGCATTCTCTCCATGAGCTTCAAGAGGTAGTCACCTGAAATGGTTTCCACTTCACAGGTGTGCCTTATCAGGGTTAATTAGTGGAATTTCTTGCTTTATCAATGGGGTTGGGACCATCAGTTGTGTTGTGCAGAAGTCAGGTTAATACACAGCCGACAGCCCTATTGGACAACTGTTAAAATTCATATTATGGCAAGAACCAATCAGCTAACTAAAGAAAAACGAGTGGCCATCATTACTTTAAGAAATGAAGGTCAGTCAGTCCGGAAAATTGCAAAAACTTTAAATGTGTCCCCAAGTGGAGTCGCAAAACCATCAAGCGCTACAACGAAACTTCAGAGATCAGAGACCAGATGAATGCCACACAGAGTTCTAGCAGCAGACCCATCTCTAGAACAACTGTTAAGAGGAGACTGCGCGAATCAGGCCTTCATGGTCAAATAGCTGCTAGGAAACCACTGCTAAGGAGAGGCAACAAGCAGAAGAGATTTGTTTGGGCCAAGAAACACAAGGAATGGACATTAGACCAGTGGAAATCTGTGCTTTGGTCTGATGAGTCCAAATTTGAGATCTTTGGTTCCAACCGCCGTGTCTTTGTGAGACGCAGAAAAGGTGAACGGATGGATTCCACATGCCTGGTTCCCACTGTGAAGCATGGAGGAGGAGGTGTGATGGTGTGGGGGTGTTTTGCTGGTGACACTGTTGGGGATTTATTCAAAATTGAAGGCACACTGAACCAGCATGGCTACCACAGCATCCTGCAGCGACATGCCATCCCATCCGGTTTGCGTTTAGTTGGACCATCATTTATTTTTCAACAGGACAATGACCCCAAACACACCTCCAGGCTGTGTAAGGGCTATTTGACCAAGAAGGAGAGTGATGGAGTGCTGCGGCAGATGACCTGGCCTCCACAGTCACCGGACCTGAACCCAATCGAGATGGTTTGGGGTGAGCTGGACCGCAGAGTGAAGGCAAAGGGGCCAACAAGTGCTAAACACCTCTGGGAACTCCTTCAAGACTGTTGGAAAACCATTTCAGGTGACTACCTCTTGAAGATCATAGAGAGAATGCCAAGAGTGTGCAAAGCAGTAATCAGAGCAAAGGGTGGCTATTTTGAAGAAACTAGAATATAAAACATGTTTTCAGTTATTTCACCTTTTTTTGTTAAGTACATAACTCCACATGTGTTCATTCATAGTTTTGATGCCTTCAGTGAGAATCTACAATGTAAATAGTCATGAAAATAAAGAAAACGCATTGAATGAGAAGGTGTGTCAAAACTTTTGGCCTGTACTGTATAACATGATCAAACCATTAACAGTGTCAGAACTTACTCGTGGGGTTCCTCAGGGTTCTAGTCTTGGTCCTTTATCATTTTAATTTAAATGCTGATATGTAACATGCATATATATTTATATTTGTCCATAAACTATAAAACCTGTGTCCTGTTTGCTCACACACAGCTCATCCCACCTAAACAACAAAACAAGTTAGTTAAAATTGGTGTGAAAAACAACTGAGATCGTGTTTCAAAAACAGTTCTAATGAGGATTTTATGATCTTGATGTTTGGTTAGGTCCAGGCAACTAACACTCAGATAAAGTTGTAAAAATGTAATTTATTTCATTTCTGTTGAGGTGCAAACACAACATATTCTAGAATAATAAAGCAGGTGAGTTGTGTCTAACATACTGGTAACCAGCTGCTTATTTCCACATCGAGCAGAGCTCTGATCCTCTGCTGCATATTTATGTTATAAAATGTTTTTATGAGCATTTCAAATTCTTTCACAGCATAGAGGATAAAATGTGTAATGCTGTTGTTTAGCTACTTTGATCGAGTGTTGAAAAACTACAGACACCCAGATTGGTATGTAGTGTTTTGCACACTAGCAAAAGCATTTCCTGGATTACGTTAATCCGAGGCACCGCGTCCACAGTGTTTTTTTCTCAGCGCCAGCGTCTTTTTTTTACATCTTTTTTTTTTTGCCAGCGACGCTTTCCAGCTCCTCCTGGGTGACCCCAAGGTGTTCCCAGGCCAGATGAGATACGTAATTCCTCCAGCGTGTTCTGGGTCTGCCTCTGGGCCTCCTACCAGTGGGACCTGGGTGTGCTGATCCCTGGCATCGCAGACTGGCTCTGGGGACTCCTTATACTAAATAATATCTATTGTGACCGTCAACATCCTAAACACATCCGACTGGAGCCAGTCAAGCTTTGTGGCAAAAGATTACAAACTTTTGAATGGTATCACATCACATGTTCACAGGAAAGCTGAGAGAGTCTATTAAAGCAATGATTCCCAACTGGTCCAGCCGTAGGGTCCAGATTTCTCCTGAGTCATCGGTTAAAGGTCCACACAGTTTAATACATTAAGCGTCGCACTTTCATTTGGCCGTGTCACTGAGCTAGTTTGTTGTCTCTGTCTGTTTGTCACTCACAATACAGGGAAAGTTCTGTGCCAGAAATTCACTTTATTCAAAATAAATTTTGTTTTTTACAAACCTGACACGTTCACGAGTCACTTGCAGTCCTTTCAGAATGGACTCAGTACCCACTTTTGGACCAGGACCCACCAGGTGGGAACCACTGTTTTAAAGCTCTAGTGTGAAGGATTTAGTGGCATCTAGTGGTGAGTTTGCAGATTGCAACCAACTGAAACTTTGTGCCAAACATATAGAAGAACTACAGCACCTGACGTAAAGACACGAATGGCCCTAGAGCCAGTGTTTGGTTTGTCCATTCTGGGCTACTGTAGAACAACATAATAGCATCCATAAACAATGATCTGCTGTGTGTGTAATTATAAATGGTTCATTCTAAGGTAACAAACACCATAATTCTTATTTTCGGGTGATTTTACACTAACGAAAACACAGTTGTGGTGTAGTGGAGGGTTTACACAGGGATATATATGTGGGTGTACCCACCTCTTTGTATAGCTGTTTTTTACAGTATACCCACTTTTCAGCCAAAAAACCATTAGAACATAAGGACAGTTAACCCGCTCTGTCCCTCTCTTATATCCACCTCATCGACTGCCACCATGCCACTGGTTATGAATATGATATTCCATTTCTACAAATATATCCCCCTAAATCCTTCTGAAGCCTTCACGTCCTCTGGTTACGAGGTCGGGACAGTCTGTCCTGCAACCTTCTGTCCGTTTATCTGTCAGTCTGTTTAACGACTGGGCTGCGTTTACTGGGTGAACCTCTGAGCAAAGTTTCCACGTGCTAAAAATACCAGCAGCAGCAGCGTCCTGCCATGCGGGTCTTCTCAGGTTGGCTGCAGGAGTGGGAGCAGGCGTGGACGCTGTTTTGACAAAAAGGACAAACCCTTCAGAGACTTTCCTCAGTCAGAGTTTCAGTTCGAGCATGCTCAGTTGGATTTTATCCAAGTCAGGCATCCACAGATTGGTCTAAATATTGAGTTTTCTGTAGAATATTGTCTGAAATCCTTCCAGAATATAAAGCAGTTCTGATATTTATTTAATCATTGGTGATAATGTCCTCTGGATTCTGACGGCGTTCCACTCTGCTCAGGACCAGTATCGCTCAGGACCTTAATGCACACGGAGCTGGAGGATCTGGCATCCTCACCGCGTCGCCGGTCCCACCAGACCAGAACCTCGTACCTCCAACGCCACCATCGGCTCTACCCTCACCATGTAGACTGGAAGTGGAGCTCTTCCTTTGAAACGGCTCTCTTACAGACGCTCTGCCGAACGTTCTCGTGAGAGAACAAGTTCAATGTCGACAAGTTTGTTTGCACTTTTGCACTTTGACCAAGAGAGTTTGTTCCAGATTTTTTTTAAGGAACTGAATAACGTGATTGTCAAGACATCGTCAAGATCATCTGTGGGGTTCAGGTTATTTTAGAAAGTCTAACAGTAGTTTTACCCTCAAAGACTCCACAGAAATCTGTTCCTGAAGTTTTATGTTTTATGACCAACAGTTATTTGGTCATAAACTGGACTAAAGACGAAGAAGTCGAGACAAGAACGAGGTGTTTACCTAATCTCGTGGATTAAATAAAGTTTAGAGATGAGAGAGTTGCTTTCTCTCCCAGTGAGGCAGCAGAAGGAGCGGCTCACCAGCCTCCCTGCTCCTCCATCCTCCACCTCCTTCCCCATCACCTCCTTCTCCATCCAAACCTCCAAGAAGTTCCCGTTCTTCCACGTGGTCAAATGCTGCAGGTACAGTACGACATCAGGCCGGGTGCTCATCACGGTTGTGTTTCCGCACTTTATTTAGGGTTAGGGTGGACGGGTTTGAGTTTGAGCTGCTGGATGTAAATGTCCTTTAAAGTACTATTTTCCTTTGTTCAAAGAAGGCATCACTGTGTGCTTGTGTTTCCAGATACGAGGCTGAGAACGCTTTCTTCTCCAGCCTGAAGCTGAAGGACTTCAACATCATCGACACCCTGGGAGTCGGCGGCTTCGGACGCGTCGAGCTGGTACGATCAGATGACATCAAACAATATCAGAATAAACAGACTGATCTTTATTCACTGATGTGCAACAGGTCAGGATTTAAGGTTTCCATTTTAAGAGTGAGTCAGAATCTACTGAGCAGGATGTTTCACATGCGTTTGAATCCACTTTTTTCAGATTATTTGAGACCAGTTTCAGATGGTTTGAGGCAAGTTTGGGTCAAATGCATCAGTTTCAGGCCAGTTTATTTAATTTGAGTCCAGTTGGATGTTTGGAAACACACTGTCCGATTCACAAAACTCTGCACAGTGTGTGTGTGTGTGTGTGTGTGTGCGCTCAGCTATTTGCAGTAACTTTCCAGTGAAGTGTCAGTGCCGGTAACTGGAAACCAGCCGTCATGTGATGTCAGAGTCTGGGTTCTTTTAGGATTCTTTTGTTTTTTTATTCACAAAAAAATTCTCAGGTATTAAACTAATTTCACGTGAAGGCGTTTGTCCAATCAGAAGTTTCCTTTGGCCTGATCACATTGGTGTTTACTTGACTGTATTAATGTCTGCAGTGAACATAAGACGTGTGATGGATGGAAAAAGACGAGGAGGGTGGGATGTTGCAGGAGGTGCGCTGCAGCTCTTGGGGGGGGGGGGGGGGGGGGGGGGNGGTCGGGTTTCTCTGCTGCAGGAGGCGGAGTCTGAGGGTACTGAAGGTCAGAGGGGAAGCCCTGTGAAGGGTTTGCCCAAAAACAGGAAGGAATCCCCGCTCCGGGTCTCCCGTCACACCTCTGGAGATATCTTTAGTCCGTTAGTCAGTGTGTAACTATGCTCCAAGGAAAACTCTGACCTCCAGACTGCCGGTCCGACCCCCAGACATAACTGTCATTACTCAGGCAGATGTTTTCCATCATGGTATGCAGATTCACAGAAGCAGATTAAAGCAGATTGACAGGAGCTGGTAGGTGTGTGTTACATTTAGACGGAGCCAGGTTTGCTGTTTCCATCTGTTTACAGTCTTCATGCTGGAAACTTTTTCTGTCACCCCGCATAAAGCGCATTCATTCCCCCTATATGTTTACCCCTGCCGTAGCTCTCTGCCCCCCCACAAGGACCCGCCCCACAGTTTGAGAACTGCAGTGCTGAGCTAAGCTAACCAGCTGCCGGCTGTAGCTTCATATTTACCATAAAGACGTCAGTGGTTTCCAGTGATGTCCAGAAATAGAGCATCATGTCATGTTCTATAAACACCACAATGTGTGTGTGTGTGTGTGTGTGTGTGTGTGTGTGTTATTCTTATTTTCAGGTGTTCTGTGATGTATGTTTGGTTTTTAAGAGCGTTTGATTAACATGCAGTCACTTCAAGTGGGTTTAAAGGAATACTTCGCCCGCAAAAGGATCATTGGTGTATCACAAGGGGAAGTTCCATTTTTTTCACGCTGTTGTCATATACACACAGGCCCGAAATACACACACGCACAAACCTATACCGATAGGACCTGTACATGCATTATATGGAGGGATGTCAGAGCGAGGGAGTAGTTGCAGCAGTTGGGGGTTCAGGGGCACCTCTGCAGTGCCCAGGAGGCAAACTGGCACCTCTCTAACTACCAGTCCACGCTCTATATTTGGTCTGGACAGGGACTTGAATCGGCGACCCTTTGATTCCCAACCCAAGTCCCTAGACTGAGCTGCTGCCGCCCCGACATACTTCACAAACACGACTTGTCATTAAAACCTTACATCTTACTAACATAGAATGCTTCTTCCTGTGAGTAGCGCACACTGGGCTTCAAACACATGCGTGTGCTCAGACACGCACGCCGCTGGACCGCCCACGATACTGTTCGTACTGGTGCATTTTTAACCGAAACATTTTATGGACAGTGCATGTGTTTGGGAAGTACTGATCATACGACTGGATAAATGAGACATCACACTCAACATCTCAGACAGACCAGAAAACAGGTTAGTAAACAGTAGAACGCCGCATGGAGGCCGTGGAAAACGTTATGGTGGTTACTTCTTTATTCATATCTGTCACTTATTCAGTCTCTCTTTCATACTCGATGCAATCTAATTTTAATTCAATTTCAGTTCAATTCAATTCAATTTTATTTATAAAGCCCAATATCACAAATCACAATTTGCCTCACAGGGTTTTACAGCACACGACATCCCTCTGTCCTTATGACACTCGCAGCGGATAAGGAAAAACTCCCCAAAAAACCCCTTTAACAGGGAAAAAAAACGGTAGAAACCTCAGGAAGAGCAACTGAGGAGGGATCCCTCTTCCAGGACAGACAGACGTGCAATAGATGTCGTTCTAATAATTAGAATTTTAAACATTTCAGTGCTGCTTGGGTGGAGACGGACGGTATTTTCTGGCGGTCCATCAATGCATCTCACCAGTAAAGGGGCTAAAATTAGCGCATGTACCCTGGTGTTGTATTTCCATAACTGATCGGCGCTGGAGCCAAAAAATACCAGTGACTACTGCAGAGACATTTGTCCCAGTAATGAATGCCGATTAAAACCTTTCCCATTAAATACAAAAGCCAGATATTTGTGGGGTTTTGTCCAGTGGTAAAGGGGCTCTACATTATACTGCACGAATTGTGCGAGAGTTCGTAAACAGATGTTTTTATATAGTTTTGCTGTTGGACCCCTGTGACCTCAGTTCATCAGGAATTCTCTCAGTTGTTAGACTCTTCGTTCACCGTGGAGGCGTCAGGTTACTCCAACTCCTTATTGAAGCTAAAGGTTTGTACTCATAGATAAAGGTCAGGTCAGAGGATATAGTGATGTTGGGGACTATTTTCAGCAGCGGATTGATCCACATTTGGTGCTCTGGTTTAGTGAGTATTTGTGGCAGCAGGACGGTGTGTGTGAGACTGAGTCAAAATAAACCAGTGTGACGGTGATGAAGGACGATGTGACCCAGTGACACACTTTGTCTCACTGATGTGTTTTTATGGCAAGAAGAGTCGTCAGGCTGTACACACACACTGTACTTGTGAACAGGAAACAGATCTGTGGACAGGAAGTAAAACGTAGAGTATCACCTGCACACGTAGAACTAATGGGACGTTTTTTTTTTTTTCCAGGTGCAGCTGAAGAGTGAGGAGGCAAAGACGTTCGCCATGAAGATCCTGAAGAAACGTCACATCGTGGACACGAGACAGCAGGAGCACATTCGCGCAGAGAAACACATCATGACCGAGGCACACTCTGACTTTGTCGTCAGGTCAGTACGGTTATCTGCTTCATCATCATCATCATCACTGGAGATATTTTATATTTGATCTCATTAATCTACAGCAGCTTTACAATGAAAAATGATCATGTTCTATGAGTTTGATGTAAAATATTATGAAAGCTGTTTTATTCTTAAATCATTCATGTAGTTTTTCAAAATATTCTTAACTCATTGTCCAATATTCAGCTTTCTGTCACATCTCAGTCTTCATCAGCATAAATGCAAAAAAAAAATGCTCACACTTTAAATTCATGAAGGTTTTGAGGTTTTTTTTGTTGTTGTTTTTTTTTTACAAAAGTACATTCAAATAGTTTAAATGTTTTTTAAAACCAGAATCAGAAACCAAGTCAAGTTGGTTCCAATCTTCCAGATTTACAAAATAAAACCATTTTATTCAAATGCGTTCCTGGCTTTCAAAATAAAAGCTTCACCAGAAAAATCATTGTTTTGTGTAGCATTTTGGTCATTTTTTAAAAATGAATAAATAAATAAATAAAATAAATACAAATTAATAAATAAAAGCATCTGCATCATTTGTTGTTTGGGTTCTGGCTTTCAAAATAAAAGAGTTGCTGTTTCCAAAAAATATTCTTAAAATAAAGTAGAAGAGAGTAGTTGAATAGAACGTTATTGTCTTTATGTCTTCAGTTCACCGACATGGACATTTTATTTTGTTTTGTTTAGTTTTGTTTTACATTAAAGCAGGACAACATATAAAACCCATGGAAACAGATCACTGGTGAAAGATATGAATAAAACAATTAAAACATGAAAATGTAAAATAAAATATGACAAACTATCTGAGACGCAGAGCTGGATGTCGTGTTTCTGTTCTTTTCCAACAGTCTGTGATGAAGCTCTGTTGTTTGTGTCCAGGTTGTACCGGACGTTTAAAGACAGTAAATATCTGTACATGCTATTGGAGGCCTGTCTGGGAGGAGAGCTGTGGACGATACTCAGAGACAGGTACATGATCTACACGGCTCATCTGTCCTCTCCAGACCATTTAATCTGTCTTTACTGTTCATGTTTACTGTTCTGATTTTTATCCTAAAGCTTGATTTCATCTGGAAAAGCCTCAGTTTGAGAGTTATTATGGTGCTGATGTCGAGGCAGCAACAAAAAGTCACTTTGTTGAAACTTTTATAAATTGATCTGTTTATTTCATAACCAAAAAAAGCAACAAGTGCTGATACAAGTAATTTTATAAAGAAAAACAAACGTCCTGTGGTGTCAGCAGCTCAGAGACGTTTTACATCAATATAAACTGAATGTCTGGGTTTTGGACTGTTGGTCAGACAAAATGAGACACGTTAAAACATCTTTGTGGACTCTGGAGATTCATGATGGACAGTTTTAGAATCTGGATTAGAACATACATTAATCTGCAGATTAAATAAATCACAAAAGGTAGCTGCAGCCCTAAAAGCAATAACCAGCAGTAAAGGCCCTGACATACTGAGCCCATGATCAGCCGCCAGAAAGCATCCGTGGCCCTCGCCCCTGCAGTCCTGCACCACTGGCTCTTGCTGGCTCTGGTCAGCTTTTTTTTCCGTTGAATCAGTGATCGTGACAACGGAGCCTGTTCTTGAATGAAATCACTCTGATTGTCAGTTCAGCTCAGAGAACGAGAAGAGAAACAGAAGTGAGGAAAGTAAACAAAAGGCTAAAGTCCAGAGAGAGTGAGACCAAAACAAACTTGTTCCATAAGGTCAGATTTTTTTTCTCTTTAGCAAAAACGTTTCCTGTGTTATTGTTCAGTGGCGCACAGTAAATATGCTCAGATTGCGTTGTTAATGTGCTAACTTGTCAACTAGCATCAAGATGCTCTTCCTGTTTCCCTTTTGTATCATGATTACAGACGACTGCTGTCTGCTGGTGTGGAGAGTTATTTCCTCTCACACAAGTGCAGAATGTACTTGCCATCAGTTGAAGTATTTGCGGTGTGTTCATGTGCAAGTTTTTTGTCCAAGACAAGGTGACGTGAGGCGAAGCAGCAGGGAACTTTCACCGCCGCTAGTTTTCTGAAGTTGGTTTGGTGTGTCGGGGCCTTAAAAGTTTGCAGAAAACTCTGAACAACAAAAAAACTACTGAAAAAACAACTAGTTAACACCTGCAAGCCGTCAGCCTCTCACAGCTTTTTAACTTTGTATTTTTCAGGGGTTCATTTGAAGATTCAACCACCAGGTTCTACACGGCGTGTGTGGTCGAAGCCTTCGCCTACCTGCATGCCAAAGGCATCATCTACAGAGACCTGAAACCTGAAAACCTCATCCTGGATAGTCGAGGATATGCCAAGCTGGTAATTCCATATTTCCTCACAAAATACACATCAGATAGAAGAATCTGCCTCCTTACATACTGTGGGGTCTGCACATATTCGGATAGGCACGTCCTGATTGGCTGACTACGTTTCTGCATTTCTCAGTATGTGAATGCGTTCTCATGGTTAGAGGAGCATTACCCAGGATTCATACTTCATATGAATTGATTGTGGATAAAGTGGGCAGAAGATATCACTCTGGACATGGAGTCAAAACATGGAAACAGCTCATCCGTACAACTCTCAATCTGGATGAAAATGTGTGTGTAAATTATTTATTTGGGATAGTGGCCATGTGAGTAATATGCAAATTAGAGATCATAAATAAAATCTAATATGATTTAAAAATATATCATGAATCTGAGTATTCCAGTGTGTTTCTAATGCTTAAAAATATGAAACAGATACCAAGCTGGCGTCAGAGGAAAGGTCAAAAATCAACAGAATTAGTAGTGTTCATTCTTTTACAATCAAGAATATTGGCAGTAAAATTACTGCAACTGTCTGTAGAAGTTTTTTTTATCTTTAACAGTTTTTAAGCTTCACATGATCAGAAAGGAAAATAAAAATAGAGTGAATGTGGAGAGACGTGTCCAATTAGTTTTGTCTTTTTCCAGGTGGACTTTGGTTTTGCCAAGAAGATCGGTTTTTGTAAGAAGACGTGGACGTTCTGCGGGACGCCGGAGTATGTTGCTCCAGAGATCATCCTCAACAAGGGTCATGACGTCTCAGCAGATTACTGGTCTCTGGGCATCCTGATGTACGAGCTGCTGACTGGCAGGTGAGGACACAACCAGTAGAATCCAGCAGAGTCAAAGTGCTGTTTCAGTGTCCCACAGAGTCTCTGTGTCTCCAGTCCCCCGTTTTCAGGTCCAGATCCAATGAAAACCTACAACATCATCCTGAGAGGCATCGACATGATCGAGTTCCCCAAGAAGATCACCAAGAACGCCGCCAACCTCATAAAGAAGCTCTGCAGGTAGGGGGTGTTGTGTGCCTGAGCAGCTCAGATTAACAGTAGGGTCAAAATTCATCATTGTCATCTCCAACATATTCTTTGAACCATCTGTGTCCACAGAGATAATCCCTCAGAGAGACTGGGAAACCTGAAAAACGGAGTCAAAGACATCCAGAAGCACAAGTGAGTGAGCTGAGAGGGCGCTGACACCTGATTGGCTGTTTCAGCTCTCACCTGTCTTTCAGTTTTTAGTTCAGTTTTTAGTTCACAGTGTAAACTAATCTGTCTCTCTCTGTGTTCAGGTGGTTTGAAGGTTTCAACTGGGAGGGTCTGAGGAAAGGAACTCTGACTCCGCCCATCACACCTGATGTGAGTTTAAATTAAATTTTGATGAACTCATGTTTGACCAATCAGCACACTGTAAATATACTGACACATAACAAGAAAACATGTTGATATGGATAAAACCATAGTATCACAGCCTATTTACCTGAAATCCTGAGCGCAGAGCTGATCTTCCTCCAGGTGCTGCAGTAGTTTAAAGCAGTCGTTTCAGTCGTCGACCAAACCACCTCTAGACACTCGTTGTGTAGCGTTAGTAATGTTAGAGGTCTCGAGGACAAGGTTACTTGTAACAACGATCGTGCTCACATCGGTCAAGTTGTTTGAAAAATCACTTATCTTTGTTTTATATAGATCATGTCCAACATGAGTTTCAATTTTCTGATGATACCTACTGCCTGCATGTTCATCCAACCCTTTAATGCAGTCACTTTCCTCTATTTACAGTTCGCGCAGCATATGGATTTTTCCCCTGCTACCCTCCATCTGAATTTTGCATGCATGCAATCATGACTATTATAGTCATGATTGCAAACAAGCTATACAACAATCAAATAGTAGAGATAGATACTTCAGTATAAATTATCTAGATGGCAAACTCTTGGAAGGTATATACATTTATATCACCCAACCCTACCGATGAGATATTAAACCTACCATGCAGAGTGTCTTCTGGTTTTTAAACAGTCAGATTAAAAAGGATTAAACCTGAAGGTGTTTGACTGTGTTGTTCTGTCCAGGTCTCCTCTCCGATTGACACCAGTAACTTCGACAGTTTTCCTGAAGACACTGACGAGCCGCCACCAGACGACAACTCCGGATGGGATTACGACTTTTAGTCCAGCTCGCACCCAAACCCAAATCCTGACTCCTTACAGCTGAAGGTGAGGTCCAAATCTGACAAGATGACGACGACTAACCAGGCTGAACAAAAGACGAACTTCATGTACCATTTGGAGGACGTTTTTCCCAGAGCACCTACTGTGACTTTGCCTGTGTTGTTCTGAAAGCATTGTTGGACCCTGTGGGAGTGAAACCTCCAATGTTTTGTAGCTACATGATGTCCTGAGGTGATTTAAGTAATGAGTGTGCTGAAGGCAGCTGATGGGAAAGGACTGCAGGCCTCTCACAGATCAAGGCAGTTCGCTCTAACTGGGGGAAACCTGAGCTGCCAGAACATCTGAGAGCTCGAAGATCAAGGCGAAGATCAGTTTCTCAGAGTAGTAGATAGGTTATAGAAGTCTCAGAGTAGCACATATGTGGTCAAAAGGCATGTTCTTGACTTTTACGACCTGAGAAAGTCATCCTCCAGATTTTAGAGAGCTGTCAGAACTCTTGAACACCATCCACAAAAATGTGCCCATGGGTCAGAGAAGACCTTTTTGCAATGCCTAGAAGTTTTTCTTTGAATCTGGAACAACTCTGATTATTTGGCTACAGCTAAACTTTGGGTATGTTTATCCATCATATTGCCGTAAGACACTTATTTACCAAGTCTTCAAGAGCAGTAAATCAGTCCTAAAAATCTATGTGGTTCTCCCTCTCAGCGAAAGAGTGCAAGCATTTTCTTAGCTTTCATGACCTGGGAAAATCATCCCAGCTCATCAGATTTGAAAGAACTGTCACAGCTCTGGAATGTAATTGCTTCATAAACACAATGCCGAGGATTGACTCAGAGATCTACGAACCCAGAACAACACAAATTCCCTGTTTGGCTGCAGCTGAACTTTGGGTATCTTCACCCATTAGCAGTTGGTCACACAGCACGGCCTTGCTATATGTCCCATTTTCTGCTGCAACACAGTGATGACAGCCGGAAACCTGCTGCTTGAACCCATCATTGAAGCCACCAGAGGCTGAAGCTGATGAATCTTGAGGGTGTCAAGGGAATGTTTGTCACAAAGTGCTTCCCAGAGAAAAATACAAGGCTAGAATATCAAACCTGCAAAGTGGGCATGGTACATATCCTTAAATAAATTTGTGTTTAATCAACTGGACATACGGCAAACCTGAGGCAGGGTGTTGTACCAGTGACATGCTGGTTGGTTTCTGGGACTCTTGGCAGAATAAGTTGGGGAAACATTTATGGGACTTTGTGGCATGGCTGAAACAAGTGAGAACAAACTCACATCAGTTGACAGCTTCAGATTGTCCCTTCAGATACCTCCTAATGACATCAAAGACATCATGGTCCTGTTTTTTGCAGCCAATGGAAAGCCTCCTGTCAAGTGTCCTTGATCACTGGTTGACACTTGACCTTTGACCCCTTCAACAGAGATTATACTTATACCACTGCCTGTCCTGTGATGTCTGCTGTTTGGGTTTTGGGGATCTGGAGGCTGTTCTGGAGGTTCTTAGGGGCCATTCTGACCCTTTGAACCCAAGATGGCTCTCTGAAAGTGGGCTGGAGGAACAACAGTCGCAGGATGACTTTGTGGTCCAAGGGACAAACACAAACCACAGGAGGAAAGACTTAAAGACTGAACAGGCAAACTCGCAGTCACCATGATGCCTTCACTTCTCATTTCATTTGCAGGAACTTAAAATCCACTGAAAAACAAAATGTTTTGGGTGTAGCAGCTGTGGTCCTTCTCCGTGGATGACGGGGAGGCGATGCGAACATTTCGTCCTTTAAACTTTCCTTTTTATCATTCTTGATGGTGTGAATCTTTGGATCATAGCATGAGAACAGATATTTTGTACATATTTCCAAGACTTCCTACATATTTTTGCACGCAGCCACAAACCCTCCGTTTTCACAGACACATGCACGACTTGATTGAAATTCTTATTGGCTGTTTGTTTCGAGGTGTTTCAAAGTTGAACATGTTTTAGGATCGGTCCTATTTCGTGTATAAGGCTTATGATGTACTTGCTTTTTCATAACATGGTTTCAGAAGACCTCTGAATCACCATTTAAACAGGTCGGGTGTTGTGCTCACTGATGGCCATTTCCCCAGTTGTAAAGGAAAAAACAAACCAGCCAATCAGAGCTTTGTGATCAGTATTTAGAATAAGGACACCATGTTCCTGTGCCAGAGTGAGAAAAGTAGCCACAAAAATGGTGGATAAGATGTTTGTAAGTAAATTCACAGAAATAACAACTCTTCAATCATTGACAGAACAATATCACCAAGGTCCATTTAGTGGGAGTTTTCAATTGTATCACACAATTTTCATTCGCTGATGGAGTTTTCCCAGTTTTGTCAAGGAACTTTCAATAGACAGTGCTAAAATTTAGAGGCGGGCCTGCTATGGTGATAACAAGTTAGCGGAGCACTGTACATGGTTTGTGTTAAGATAACCTTAGCTCCCTTTCAACATTGTGCTAGCAAGCTGCGAGATATATCTGAACACATTGTTGCCTCACCTACTTTGTAAAGTTTTACTAACCATAACTTGGCCGAACGATTGACAGCAGATTGTAAAACTGTCTCTGACTCCTCCTGAAATAAGCCCTGATCTGACCATTATCCAGGCAAAGCTCCCAGACCAGCTGGTGGTACTTCCTGTGATTTCTCCTCTCTCTGACGGTCTTTGTACCCATACAGATCTCCATTTTCCTGTAACCAACATACATACATATGCCTGTCCATTTTTATGCATTTTTAAGGTACCTAGTTTGCCTCACAGCGAAATAGAGGTTAGGCAAAGTACATACTTCACTTGTTGTGAATGAAATGAAAAAAAGATGCAGCAAGCTGCAAAACGCACAGTCTGATCAGGTCCTAAAGATCACGGCCAGATCATCCCTGGACAATACCAGAGTATCTTCCTGTAGAACTTAAGATTGTAAACATAAACAATCGCATGAACTCATAAACTCTCAGAGTTTAGTTCTGAGAGTGCTCAGAGCACAGCCGTTACTCCTTCGCTTTGAAAGGGGCCAGTTGAGGTAGTTCGGGCATCTGATCAGGATCCTCCTGGTTGCCTTACGTTAGAGGTGTTCTGGGCACGTCCCACTGGTAGGAGGCCCCGGGGCAGACCCAGAACACACTGGGAATGCCTCGGGATCCTCCAGGAGGAGCTGGAAAGCGACACTTGGGAGCCTCTGGAGTACTTTGCTCAGCCTGCTGCCCCCGTGACCCAACCTCGGATAAGTGGTTGAAAATAGAATGAAAAAAAACAACAACAAAAAAACATGGTGGGACTCGAGAAAGTCACCATACTACTAAAAAGACATTGCAAGATACACGAACTGGGTTAAAAGCAAATATACAAAACAGAACAGACCGTCATACTCACAGTAAATCCACTTAGAGATGTTGAGTTGAAGTGGACGTTAAGTCTTATGTGAAGTTTGTATTCTTCCACAAACAAAGAGTTTAACCACAAAAGAGTTTAATCTATTTATTTTGTTTTGTACTCATATCGTGTGGCCTTCTGTAAAAGCAGCTGATAGTTGTCTCACTTTGGTACGAAGCCTTTGTATTTCGCAGTCTGAAACTGTCGTGATATTTTTGTAAACTGAGCAGCGATGTGACGTCTGTGAGCTCTGCATGAAAATATTGGAAATGTTCCGTTTTCACCACTAGAGGGCAGAATACAGTCAGACACAGAGTCCTGCATGGGTCCATTTTTGAAAACCCGCACCCGCTCATACCAATAAAGCTCAGTACCAGAACCGACCCTTTACCAGTCATATGTCTAAGGCAAAGCTGCACCCTTTAATAAAAGTCCCACGACCCAACCCGCACTTGTGATTAAACCCACCCAGGCTCCAGTCCCTCACATTAAGCTTGGCTCTCCGTTCTTGAATTCCAAATCCAGTGGAGGAGATGTCTCTTTCACTGGATGGTGAAAACATTCAATCACTGCCAGGTTAGGAAACATTCTAGCGTGCTCCTTCCACCACCAGCAAACCTCCAAAGGATCCTCCTTGGGTGTCTCGAACTCCATGTAGGCTGCCACCTCATCCTCGGACTGCAAAGTTTCATGGCTGGAGTCCTCCACGTCTGTGACCAATGTGACCACGGGGTCAAAGGTTACACTTGTGTAACTGGCTTTCAAAATAAAAGGAACTGCAGCTTGATAAAAGTGATTTAGATCACTTTTTAGGACCGACGTCTTGATGACATCATGTTATTACCTGGAGGTGCAGCTGCCTCTCCACCACAGGGCTGTAGGCTCCATAGGAGTCTTAAAATATGTTTGTCTTGTTGTGTTATTGGGAGCCAGAATAGAAGGAGTCATGGCTCAAAACCAGCCGCCACTGCCCATCAACAAAAACAACTATGGTTAAATGTGATAAGACCAAAGGACTAGACGGAGGCCATCATCAAAAATGCTCACATGTGCAGCACACACTTCATATCAGGTTAGGGAAAAAGTATTTCCTGTTGTAGGGATGAATAACGTTATGTGTATTAAGGGTTATCATGTCCACCTCATCAGAAACTGGGGAGGGATTAAGAGGAAGATTGGAGAATTGTTTTGCCTCCAGCTAAGCCCCGCCCACCAAAAAACATCATACTGTTTACTAACAGTACAAGGGTCTATCCTGCACCTCTTTTCATTTGTTTTATTCTTAAAAATAACAATATTTTGGTTCTCACCCGCTGCCCCCGTCAGCTTTTTGCGGGTCACCTGTTGGAAACCCGACCCCGTGCAGGACTCTGATCAGACGCACCAACAAACGAGGCAGCGCTGGGCTTTAAAGGGACAGTTCAACATTTTAGGAGATACAGTTTCTTCTCTTTGTTTCAGACAGTGAGATGTTCAGATACATAACACGTGGTTAGCCTAGCTTAGCATAAAGACTGGGAACTGGGGGAACAGCTAGCATGGTTGCCAGGAACTATTTCTTGTTGGGAAGCCAGTGAGGGATGTTGTCCTTGTTCCTGGTTTCCCTCTACAATCTGATTCTTAGTAGTCTCTCAAAGTTTAAAAACACTCCTATGAACACCCTTAAAGTTCAGCGATGAACCTTAATGGCATTAGTTTAATATGTGCAAAAACAGAAATGTTCTAAAATAATAAATAATATTTATGTTCCCACCACGGACTGACAGACCAGACTGCCTGGTTGATTTAAATGTTGGGCTGTAAACAATAAAAAAACACAATTAGGACAAACAGTGATTTTTAAAAAATGTGTTTGGACCAGAATATTTATGTTCATATCATTTCTTTGTGATATTTTGTGGTTGTGAGATGAGCTTTAGTATCACGGATTTATTTGTATATACTGGGAATATAGTATTTTATGACGTGTCAGCTGTTTGTAGATGATTATTATTATTATTATTATTATTATTATTGTTATTGTTACAGTGGCTGCCATGGTAGCTGAAGAAATGTTCTGACTCTCGCTCTGTCTCTCAGTTCAAAAAAGCTTTATGGGCATGACTGTTAAAAACAAAACTAAATCAATTTTGCCAAAGCATTTGATCTGTTTGAAAAATAAAAGCTGGGAAAAAAATGGGGTTTGTTTTTCATATCATTGGAGACACATTGTTGTGTGACATACAGATACGGTTGTTTCTGTGTCATCATTCATATTTAAAGACATTTTTAAGTTTTGGTTGCATGTCGCTTTTCAAACATAAACATTTAAAATCACTATTTGACTAAATTATTTCATTTTCATATGTGGAGACAAATAATTTCATAACCAACTACAAGATAAAAATGAATGTCCTGGTGATGTAGTTTAAGTCAGTGATGGAGCAAGTTTTCAGATCCTCTGAAAATACTCCATTACAACTTAATTTTACATGAAAAGTAGGCCCAACAAATTATTAAATTATTATTAAAATCTAATAGTATCAAAAGTAAGAGTACTCATGATGCAGACTGACCCCTGCTGGAGTTATAGTGTTATATTATTGGATCATTTTTACTGATTAACATAGAGGTACTTGTAATTAAGTCAAAGGCAAGGGAGCTTTATTTGTACAGCACATTTCATACACCCAGGACATTTCAAAGAGCTTTACGGAGCAATAAAACATAAAACATAATAAAGAATACAGATTTACAATGACAGAGTAAAGAGGAAAAAATATATAAAAGATAAAAATTAATTACTACAACCCTACAAACTCATTTACCTGATGATTTTTACAAGTGCTCAGCCAGGATTCCAACCACCAACCTCTTGCACCGAGCAGCAAAATGAAGACCTTTCATTGTGGCTTTTATTTTGAAAGAAAGTTGGTTTAGTTAAGTTTATTTGCACATGCATGTGTAAAAAAGACAACAAAAATGGCCTATGGAGATACCTCCCCTATGAAATATTAATATTATAAATAAAAGGTAAAAACTGATGTACCAATTACAAGAAAAATGTATACAAGCCAATTCCAAATAAATCACTGAAGAGTCTTTGTAAATTGAAGTCCTTTTCCAATGTTTTTTGAGTAACGATAATGTAACGCGTAAAGTTTCCTGTCCCTGCAGCCTGCTGTTGACATGAACATGACATCTTTTTTAAACAGGAACAGGCCCCCAGGAAGTGCACTGTGCTCTGAAGCCAATTCTCACAGTGGCCAAACAGTGATACTGCAATGTCCAGGTCCGTCACCTGATCCCATTGGGCCCAAAAAGGACTTTTCTCCATAGACTTACATTGTCTATAAATCCGTGGGTTAATTTTTTTTTTTAAACGTTAGATCCCCCACGAAATGACTCGTTCCACTATCAGGATTTAATTAA